GTCATTGCCAAAGAGTATAGTCATTGCATTGAATCTTGATCATCTTGATTGAATCATGAAGTATGTTTTATGCAAAGAGTATAGTAAGTATTTTTTAAGAGGGGGACAATCATCGAATGGCTGTTCCCGCCTGGGTGAGGTGATAGGGAGTGTCAGACTCTTACTGACTAAAAATCACCCCGTTCCTTCACGTCGTTAGGTTCTCCGCGACTCCGAATCGGAATCGGCCCTGTTGGGCTCCATCTGTGATGGTCTGATGGCTCTTTGAGGTATGCGCGGAACGCTTCGCGCCGTACACCCGGGTCTGTTTCTGTTCGGACGGGCAGCCACCCATGCTCGTTGCTTACGGTGGCTGGAGATCGTCCCGCGATCCCCGACGCCCGGTGTGTCCTTCGCGATGGCTGGGTTGCGAGGAGGCATTTCTCTGCCTCACGCGTCCCGCCTCCTCCTTAGCTAGCATAACTGCTTCGCAAAAGTAAGTAGTTTTATGTCAAAGAAGAGTATAACAAAGAGATAAGGACTTGGATCAAAGCAAGATTAAAGTATAAGTAAAAAGTATTATTAAAAAATAGTACTTAGTACCGATAAAGACGTAGAAAAAAGGATTACCCCTATTGGCCGTATACTTATTACACTCATTGAATCCTTGATATAGGGAAACATCTATGATAATATATCTATGGAAACATCACAGTCAGTTTGACATAATACTGATAATAGGTATTACAATGAAGACCTTTTGATATATTTTACAGCTTAATTTTTATAATGACAAATGATTTTAATGTTTATTTTTAATGCCCTACATTTAATAATAATTTTGACATATTGTGTGGAACCTCTGCAGGCTGTTCTAATGGCCCGTCTCAAGAATCCTTACGTATATGTGGCGACCACTGATGTTATTATACTACCTGAAGATTACGAAATAGAATTCGCTAAGCCAATTGCTACCAAACAAAGTGGTGCCGATAAACAATTCTATTACTACTCAGTACAGAGCACATTTCCCCGTAAAAGTACTCGTGAAAGGATCGATAGTGATGTAAGAAAAAAACAGGTTTTAATTTCTAGTAAGATAAAAGGAAAAACTATTCATGTAACAAGAACAGTAAAGAGTAGAATTCAAAGTACAAGTAAAAAGAGCATACGTTACTCCTACAAAGTTGACACAGATACACAACATAAATATGATAAGATTGGATTTGAACCGTGGCCGGCATTGCATTTTTCCAATTATGACGAAATCACTAGCAGTACAGAAACTTTGACATCACCAAATATAGTAACCACTTCCCGGTCTACAAAGACATGGAGGAGTTATTTTCCCACCAGGAGATCCGTTGATAATGAATATAGTGATATACTGTCCTTTTGGACAAGCACCCTCGGTAGACATAGGATGGAGTATCAACATAATGCAAGGTATCCTACTACAGTTACAAAATCTGAATTTAATAACATGTTAGTAAATCGGCCAACAATCTTTTCGAAAATGAATGAAAACTTTCGCGATAACACAAAGAAGAAATTAAAATATTTGGAAAATTACAGAAATATTATGCATATACCATCTGCAACTGATGCAGCAGATAGACCATACTACTCAGAATTGGAAATATTTAAAAGTCATTATTCTTCAGATAGAACTACGCGTTATAAAAAACCGTATTCGATGGATAGTGTTGAGGATGAAGTAATTCGAAAATCAGAAAGTAAGATACATAAGAAGCCTTCCTTCTTAGAAATGGAGGAATTTAGGAGTAAAGGTAAAGCAATGTATCGAGAACCATCTACAGAACTTATTTATGACCGAAGAACATATCCCACGAAACAAAAAAACAAAAAACAACATGCAACAAAATCTAAGGAATATACAATAGAGAGACAAGACTATAGAACTATACATTATTATAATCCAACAAGAAGTACTTTAGCTCATCCTACTAAAAAAGAAGTGTTCGGTGGACTTCATTTTACAGATAGAATAAGAGGCAAGTTTGAAGAGCCTGCCACAGAACTAGAAGAATATCGAAAAACTTTACCCTCTGAAAATACGTCTTATGAAGATAATGAGTACAGAAAATATAATTTTGAAGAACGTGAAAAATATATGCAGACTTCCAAAGAATCTTTAGGTTATCGAAAATCTTTGTTAGCAAAACAATATATCAGTGAAAGTGGTTTCGAAGAAACAAAAGACTATGATTCACTTACATCAGTGCCGACTTATAAAAAATCGAAGAACTTCAAATCGACTGAATCTAGAAAGTTCTATGCCGCAGAAAAAAAACATAGTTCAAAAAGTATACCAACAGAGTTATTTTCATTGCAAGATGATGAAAATTTTGAGACCTTTTATGATACAAGCGACAATCTTTCCACTAAAACTCTGTACAAAATAACTAATTATAAACATCCTTATTTCATAGAAATGGACGAGGTTCGAAGAGTTCATTCTACAAATAAGCCATACCACGGAATAGTTCATTCTACTGATATACCATACCGCGTAGAAGCTTATTCTACTGATAGTCCATACCACGTAAAAATGTATTCTACTGATAGACCATACCATGCAGAAATTTATTCTAGTAATAGACCATACCATGCAGAAGTTTATTCTACTGAGAGACCATACCATGCAGAAGTTTATTCTACTGATAGACCATACCATGCAGAAGGTTATTCTACTGATAGACCATACCATGCAGAAGGTTATTCTACTGATAGACCATACCATGCAGAAGTTTATTCTACGGATACACCAGACCATGAAGAAGTTTATTCTACTGATAAACCATACCATGAAAAAGTTTCTTCTACTAGTCGACCATACCATGGAGAAGGTTATATGAATAATAAACCACATTATGACGGAGCTAATTCTACTAATAGACCGCATCCTGTATCAGTTCATTCTTCTAATAGGCCATATCATGGAGAATCATATTCTAATGTTAGGTTACACTTTGAAGGAGGCTATTCCAATGATATGACCTCATCTAGTGATAACCCTTACCATTCTAATGATCGACCACACTATAAAGGAGCGTACTCAACTGATACGCTGCATCAGGACGGAGATTATACCACTGATAGGTCACATTATCAACAATTTACATTTACTGATTCCCAGAAACCCTATCCCATGAATATGAAAGATTACGACGAAAATCCTTCTGATATATTTAAAAATTATAAACCTGTTTCAACAGCAGACGACCCTTTTCATGTAAATTTGTTGAATCCTACTCCTACTCTTTCTGCGGGAAATGAGTCATCATTTGATTCAATGTATTTAATGTCAGTTATTGGAAATAAAACAGATAAATGCTATACATGCGGAATGGATGAAATTGATTATACTTCCGATAATTGTTACAAGATTTTTGAGCATACAGATAGATCACTCAAGTATAAAATGCGTTCTTTCAAGACTAAGTGTTCAGGTAAAACGTTTATCGGTGGCTGTTTTAAAAGGTTTTTAGATATTGGTCATTATTATAGCGAAAGAGGATGTAGGCAATATCCTCCGGCGCATGGACGTAGCTTTGCTTCTAGTAGATATGCGAGTATTGAACGCATGCTTTCTAGGACAGACGAAGGGTGCACGGTCAGTCCAGCTGCTACCCTCGTGCCTTTCAGCAGATCCGTGTTGCTTTATGCTAGGTTTCATGTTTGTGTTTGTACTAAGAACTATTGTAATAATTCATCAATGATATCAGGGAACCTTATGTTTTATTTTATTTGCATTTATTTCTATTTAAGTAATAAATGTTTTTATATAAGTATTATTTAAAGACAATTATCTGCCTTTGAAATCAATCAATCAAATATGTTTTCTAGAGGTATTATAATTTATTATTTACTAGCCTTTGCCAGGGGCGTCACCTGCGTTCCCGGGGGGGTAAAAAGTACCTATGTATAACTTCAGACCAAAATCTGTTCCAAATTTCTTCTCGGCCCCTTCAGCCGTGATGTGACTGAGTAAAAACATAGACAAACTCTCAGCCACAGGACGTCCACTGCTGAACATAGGCCTCCCCCAATGACTTCCAGATTAAAGTAGGTATAATCATACCAAGTTTCATTGTAGTTTTTGCGTGATGCGTCAACGTACAGAAGGATAGACAAATAACTTTTTATTCATATTTTTAGGTTCGGGCCTATCTAGTAGAACCCTCTACTATTTATTTGTTTAATATTTTCAATGTACGGACTGTATACTTTCACAGATTAATAGGGTAGTTTCATAAATTTCATTATAATGTCCGTCTGGTACATTAATTTAAAACTTTAGACACATATTTTTTTTTCTCACAAAATTTAATACTTTCGGCGATATAGTAATTTGAAATATCGTGTGACGTCATAGCGTGCCACATTTTGTAGCACGTTATGACGTAACGACCTCCCACTCCTAAACTTAGCGTCATTTTATCTAAGTATTGCAACTTAATACGAGAAAATAAAAAAAAATACGTGTCTAATATTTTTTCATTATGTAACTGACGGACTAATTAGATTTTTTATTTTGATACCCTGGAAACTACCCAATTATACTATGTATAAGATTACAACACGTAAATTTATTAAAATGTAAGCTATAAATATGAGTGTAGTAAGAGCAAATAAATAACTAGGCAACAATAGACAAATGTGGACTAACTAAAAAAACGCATGTTCACTGTGCCGCTGGTCATAATTGACTCCAGGCAGACGTGCAGTAAACATTCGATACAGAATATCTAAACTAAAAGAGCTCTTCTTAGACTTGCGAAGGCATCAAGCGAAATCGGATGGAAATATTCAAAATAGTTCAAATAATGAAACGAAACAGTGAATTCAACAAAACTCTATTTCGCAGATATTTGATAGATCCTTAGAATATAAGTTCTAACGAAGGGCAGGAAAGGTGTCATCTTATCTTAAATGGGCATAAAATTCTATGATTGCAAATGAAACAAGATATATAACTACAAAGTAGGAGATTTATTTGAATGATTACTACGTACTATTATAATATTACAGTGAGTACTGATATTTATGACCATCTTGCTTTTTATCGTGTGATGGTTTGTTTTCACTTATGCTCTCGACACTACTTTGCCGACGGAGAGACTTCAGGTCAGATGGCTTTTTTGGCTTCCCGTCATCTTTCACTTTCTGAACATTCTTCTCATTACTGTCTTTGTGCGACAACACTTCTTCATCACTTTCTGTAGTACTTATAGTTATTACTGGGATTACAGAACCAATGGAATCCGACTGCTTAGATTGCGTACTTGATTGTGATGTTTGTTTCTCATGAATTTTTTTACCATTGTTTTTTTCTTTGGACATTTCTCTTACAATTTTTGGCTTTGTTGCTTCCTTTGCATCCTGGATTTGTTTTTCAATCACGGCTTTTTTTTCTGTTCGATCATCAATTTTTTCGAGTTTCACTTTCAAGCCCTTATTAAATATTTCGTTGATTTTCTGTTTTTTGGACCCGTCCGTTTTGAATTCCACGCTGTTTTTTACTTTCTTATCTGGTTTGATTATAAAAATATCTTTGATTTTTAAAACTTCTCTTGGTAGAGTCTCATGAAAATCAGTGTCTGTTTCATCATCTACATTGTTCGGGGAGGGTGAAGGAATGTCAACTTCTGAAACGGCCTCTACATCACTTTTCTTATCGAGCGCCATGCCGACAATTTTAGCAAAAATGCCACCTAGAAACAAAATATATTAAAATAACTCTCAGTTTTCACCAATCACAATTACATTAAAATACTATTAAACTTTGAATAATATATAGAGTGACCAAGAATCAATTGACTAGTTGTGAATCAAAGTTCACTAGTTGTGCTTGCGATCAGAAAAGAGATTTATCCAGTCTCTTCTTTAAAAGGTGTGAGGCTGCGTAACGTTATTATGAAACTGCACAAACCTTTTTTCTTAGCAACTTTAATCGGTTCATTCATCTCTTCGGTTAAAGTTTTCCGATCATCAGAGTCAATTGATTTGCTCATTGGCAATGACGGTAATGCTTTCTTCCATCTAGCAAAAGGCGTATTGTCAATAGATGACGATCCACCTCTTCTCCTGGTGTCAGCTAGTTGGAACATTTTTCTACGTTCTTCAGTTCTTTCACGGCGTAATTGTATCTAAAATGAAAGAAGCTGTGAGTGGTGAACCAAATAATTATGAAAAAACTTTCATATGTAATATTTAATACATAAATTTCAAATCGGTTCTTCGTTAATCTTAAATATTTTAGGTTTATTAGGTTTATATGGATTTAGATTAAGTTTTTATAATGTTTTCGATCATTATTTCGAATCATTGGACTTAAATATACAAAATAAATTACTTGAGATGCAGATAATTTGGCACGGAAACAAATACCTATATTATATTATACGTGTGATACTCACTTTTAAATCGTTGTTCGCTTCTCGCAAAGAGTTTGTCAGTGACGTCAAATAATATATTATCAATATTAGCAATACCAACAAAGGTATCACTATAGCCGGGGAGGCTATGTATTCCAGTGCAAAACTCAGACTTTTCGGCAATATCTTATAAATGTTGATTGTTAATATATAGTAGATCTTATCATATTCAGAGAAAGGTCCACAATGCCATGACGGTTTTACCCAAACAATTGTGTAGCCTACTGGTAATACGCATAAAAATAGCATTGTTAACAACAGTGCTAGGTAGAAGTTATTACTTTTCGATACTCTGAAGACCACTTCGTGAGGTACATTGCATGTCATGACTGCCCACGATCGCAGGTACATCATGATCATTAGCTTGACAACATTCAACACAACGAGGCCTGGTGAGAAGAACATCCCCATCCATACCATTCCCTGGTTATTGATAAGGTGTAGAATATTCTCCGCGATTTTGAAGTCTCCATATTCTGGAAACTTTTTTTCAAGATCCCAACACCAGCACCTGTTCATATAACGCACAAACAGAGCACGAAAGAAGTCTAAGAATAGTGTGCCGAGAAGAACGAAGACCTGGAAGAAAGTTTTGAAATTAGTAGACATTATCGTAGGTAGGAAGTAGGTAATATCTAAAAGAAACTTAAATATAAAAAAAAACATTTGACATACCAAATCCATCATAGTTAATTTTACAAGTTCCTGCCCAAACATTGTTTCCCAGCATAGTTTCAACAACTTCTTCTTTGTAGGTACTGACAGATTGTACATTTTCCTCTTGTTGTCATCGTAATACACCACATCGATAGCAGTGACGTTACTTCCGTTCTCCACATCAACTGCTGTATTTACATTTGATGGACAGACTTTAACGTAACATACTCTTTTTATGATGGTGCAATTGGACATAAAGAACACTTGTTTCATATTTTTCCCATTACAGTTTATTGTACAATTGAATGTGAAGTCGGGACAAAAAGCTATGGTCGTGGGTGATTTAGGCTTCATAGTTGTAGTTGTCGACTCTGTAGTTACTTCAGTGGCAATGCTATAGTTCTTGGCCTTGTTAATAGCATTTGTAGATTGTTGCTGCGGTGAATATGCACTAGAAGTTTCTATAATATCGCTGCCAATAGAATATTTTAATGTGCTTTCTGTTACGTCTGAACTTGTCGTAGTATCTATAGAATAAGTAGTAGTGTCTACCATGTCATTTGTAGATGTATGAACTATTCTGTCAGTAGTCAAGTCAAACATTTCTGTTGTTGTATCGAGTAAACTCAAAGTTGAATAGAATTCTGTATCAGCGAATGTAGTTTCAGTATTCAAAGTCGTATCTGTATTAATATTATCAATTACAGAAGAGGGCATTTCTGAAGGCTCTGTAACTGTTGAAGTGTCAGTACTATAATTATCAACTGTGGTCGTGTAATCTAACGAACTGAAATCCGTCACTGTACTCGAATAGATAAAATTAGTATAGTCTTGTATATCAGTGTCAGTTTCTGCTCCTGTCGTACTTTCAGTGTCATAAAAGGTATACTCATAATCGTCTGGGTCTGATGTAGTGTCATTTACATTTATTACTTCTATTGGTTGTTGAATTCGTATATTTCGTAACCGTTCCAATTCTTTAATTCCCAGAGAAATACTATCTAATGTGGTACTTTCACTGCCTCCAATGTTATTTTCCATGCCACTGCTCGTTGTATCAAATTCTTCATCGCGTGGACGTCTTAAAAGTATTTTAGGGGCGATTTTCTTTGGAAAAGATGCGGAGCCTGTTTTTAGTACGATTCCGTCTGATAGCTTCACTGGTAAAGTTATTTGTATATCACAAGGCCCACAAGAGACCTTTTGTTCGACACAAAAATCTGGCAATGTTGTTGTATAAGATTCACTTAGATTTAGAGCTTCATTTGGCATTGGTGTCGCATTTAAACTTAATGTTGGTTTTAATAAATCCAGATCTTTGCTCATTCCCTCAATTTTACTGAATAAGGCAAATATGAGAGAGTATAAATTGAGAAGATTCAATAACATGATCCTATAAAAACAAATCATACATTATTTAATGAAGATATATACCAAGGTACTATATTATAGAAATAGAAGTATATACCTTGCTAATTGCAGCCTCAGTTGCTTCCTTGGGTGGTAGTGTTCTAAAAATCCAAGTAATTCAAAGAATACAGGAAATGTTATAGAGATGACTGTGACAACTATAGTTGTCTCATTCTCGCGCCACCAACTTCTTACTTTTAAGTTGTCATCAGAGCGAGACACGACTGTTACCACGGCATATGCTGACACTGCTAGCAGTATAACAACACATATGTTAACCAGAGCACGGAGTGATATTATGCGCCAACTGAAAGAAGTAAAATTATTTGTAAAATTCCAGTGCGAATGTGAAAGTTCTCAAGCATTCTATGAGTCAACCAAACTAAAAGGAAGAATTTCCTGTCAGCAGTTAAAACCAAAGTAATTTAATACATATTGACACCGAATTTTGATATAACTATCCTTAAAAAGTAATAAATCTGATATTGTGTTAGTTTCCATTATTAACGAATTCAAACGAATGGCATACTTCCTTAAATCCTTTTTCTTTTCGGCTTCTTCAAGCAATGCTTCTTTGAACCCCAATATGACCGAGGCGATACGATTATGTGCTGTCTCCGTGTTACCGATCATGAAATCCCATCCAGTGAATAATTTCCACGAGAATATACATTCGTCTTCTTTCTCGGATAGCTTTGACATTCGAGAATTTTCAGCCATTCTATGGGGGAAAAATTGTAGGTTATAAGTGAAGCAGCAGCTTTGAAAATGTATTACAATACTGGCTATTCAGGACCTTTATCCAAACGCCACCTTAGCGCTTGTCTACAGAGAGAGTAGACATCAAAATGAATGGGGATGACACTGACAAATGTCAAAATTGTACGTCAATTCCATATAATTTGCTTTTCTATTCTACAAGTAGACTAGCGCTAAATGGCATTTGGCTACAGCTGCAGGCGCGGTTTCACACGCGTCTATTAGTCATATCGTGATGCTTTATATCCTGTCGCCTTCGTCCATAAATGCGCTATCCGATACAAAAAGAATTATCAAATCGGACTAATAGTTCCGAAGATCAACCGGTTCAAGGAAACAAACAAACCCTTCAGCTTTATAATATATAATTGTAGATAAGTTTCCTTCCTGTTTATTAGTAGGAGTTACTGTAAGACTGGCCGGCTCCATATTGTTAACACATTTTCAGTTAACCTTTAGCTATAGAGTATAATCTATTACAGTGGGACTAGCAACATACTGGCTTTAATGAAAGATACATCTGCATGTAAGCACTGTTTTAGGATATAAAAACATGGCATTTTGGAACATTTTGTAATCTTCAAACTCACAACAGTACATGTGAGATACGTGTAACACAAGCATAAATCTTAATCAGAAATAAACTTACTTCCTCAGTATGGCGACGAAGCTATAAATGTACACGGCAAGTCCTGTCAAGAAGTATGCAAGTGGCATGCGATACTGAGCTCTCTCTACATTGCTATAATACCCATAGAAGATCGGTGAGCACTTCAGAACTCCCTCGAATTCCCATAAAGTCAAAAGATTTGACGCGTTACGCTTCTCTTCGTCCATAATAATTTTTCTTTCACCGTCTTGTTGTGGATTCGCTGTTAAATACTGAAGTTACAAACCATTTTAATTAACCAAATACTGCAAATGTTGATTTAAATAACAGAATATGAATAGCCAATCTTAAATGTATAAAATACCTCAGGCACAATAACAAAGACGAGTAGTATGAAACCAATGACTAGGTTCACCCAGAACAGCCAGCGAAGGAAGGTGAAGTAGGACGCGACCACGGATCCGAAGTGAGATTCGATCTCCTTGATCCTCAACTCCCATGGAATCAGCAGGTTTGAAGTGTTGGCTGCCTCACGTTTTATTTGTTGCCAGTACTGGTCAAATAATAAGAAGAAAAGGTCAAAAAAGTCAAAGCATTTATTTCAATTATTCCTAAGTCAAAAATCGAATTGTTCTTCTATCTATCTATCTATCAGTAAAGAAAATTGAGTATTATAAGTAATGTCTCAGTTCAGTAGCATGGGCTAAATTAGTGTAGGAGATCTAATCTAGGGATGGGACTGATTTCTTCATTGTTTCAATTCATCGCAACTGAGTAGCGACTACTGAACATGTTCACTATAGTATCGAGAATGGAATCATACTTAGTTTATAGCCCCCTACTATAGGTGATTCATAACATAATTATGTAATTGCTGAAAAATGGATGCTACAGTTAGTAATTTATGAATGAAACAAAAACTCACAGAATTCAATAAAATGTTGAATCTTGCGTAAATATCTCGAGTGCTCTTCGACTGTGCCAGTCTCTCTTGCAGTTGTCCTTCGTGACGTTTGATGTATGCTTTAGCCTGAAAACATGCAAATATTAGTTCAACAACCTTAGACAAGTTAACTATTTATAAGTTGGAACCAAAAGAAAAAAATGTAAACACAATATTATGTATAGTATGTATTTCACTCATGTGACGGTTTTTTAGTCCGTCACAACCTCCTATCTAGGACAGGATCTAGGTATAATAACTTCATTAATAACTATCTTGGATGTTTTATAATTGTCATGTTGCATCGCAGTATTTTCGTATCTTTATTTCTAATGTCACCTGATGAACAATCTTCAGTTTCCTCCTCATCCCGAGCGGTTGTTGCTTCACGGAGCCCAGCACTTCTTTGTGAAGATGAATGTTCTCGAATATTTGCTCCTGCGTCACCACTGCTAGCTGGCCGTCATCCATTGATATTGCTGTACTGTATTTAAGAACATAGAAATATGATGGCACACATTTTTCATCCGGCCAGGGTTGTGAGTAAAGTGTAATAAGTTACTGCGGTTTCGGCTCAGAGGAGTTAGAATAAGGTGGATATTGTTCTATCATGTTGAAGGAGACATTTGATGATTATCTCCTCTCAAAAAGAAAACACATTTAAAGTGCTTGCAGGACTTCGAAATATTAACTCTCGAGTTCTATCTTAGGATATTATTGAATCGCTTTTCCAGGATTATTTGGCTAAAACCGGTAGTGTGACGGCGCAAAAAGTATAAAGAACAAATGTTCGTTGAGACGTGACGTTGTGTACCTCTATTATTTTTTTACCAAATACTCCATAAACATGTCAACCATCACATACTTACTCCCCAGAACTTGTAGTAAACACAGAAGACCTTCTCCTAGGTCTATTCTCATCTGCAAGGAATGGAGAAGACGGGCGTCTGGCTCTGCCCTTCCGAGATCTTCGTACACTTGCCCGTCGCTGGCGGAGCACCGCACTTAGACTCGCTGAGTAATCTTCGTCTTCGGAGCCATCTGGAAAAGATGTCGATGTTAAGTGTGGGAGAGCCATGCTTCGGCACGAATGGGCCGGCTCGACCGGAGTGATACCACGGCCTCACAGAAAACCGACGTGAAGCAACGCTTGCGTTGTGTTTCGTCGTGTGAGTGAGGTTACCGGAGGCCCAATTACCTTCCCCAATCTCCCCAATATCTGAATCGCCAACGATCCTCAAACGCCTAATCCCCAAAAAGCCGGTGACTCACTTGTGATGAAATGACTGATGGTGATGAAGCATGAGGTTTGTAAGAATCGCAGCAATTGGCGTTCTATAGTCTCTGCCTACCCCCATGGGAGACAGGCGTGAGGTTATTTTTAGTCGATAAAACAAATATAGACAGTGTCTAAGTGACTACAAAAGTGAATGCGAAGAAATGGATGTTGGGTTCGATTTTAGACACATTGGTACAGCTACCCAATTGAATAGGAACTGTATTACTCACATAAATAGCTGATTGAATTATCACATATACGATCATGCGCGTATATATTATATTATACTACAGCGAGTATGTCTACAATCGTATTGTCGTAGATATATAAAAGTATTTATGTTATTAGCTATGTTTATTTCATTATAAAGATAGCAAAGAAATGTAAGCTTTCAAATTTATGACATTATAATTGATGCGTTCAATTTTATCGAGTCAATTATATTCAAGGAGTTTCGAGTTACTTTGTACGACGTAATGACACAATAAATCGTTTGTATATCTAATTACGTAATGCAATTTTGTAAATTATTGTATAACGGTCGTGGTTTGGACTGGTGATTTGTGATACAAGTTTTACCTACAACAGACTCTCAGATCGTCTCGAGTTTATTTGTGAAATTGTTTGCTGATATTGTTGAGTGATAATGAAAAAATAAATGATTATAATAATAGTAATGATTGTCTTTAAAGTTCTTCTTCATTTTATAATATCTACTTAAAAACACATTTATAAAAGAACTACTATAAAAAATACTTTTGACTGAGAAATAAAGCCATGATGAAAAGAGGAAGCCGATCTACGCTCAAAAGTCAACAAGTAAGATTAAATAGAATCCATTAACGGATAAGGAAAACGGCACATCGCCCCACGTCTGGAATTTCGAAAACCTGTTTAATATTATATCCCTACGCCCAATTATAATGGGGATCAACAAAATGTTAATAAAAATAACAGCTGTTAGCTTGTTTGCAAAAATGAGCTAAAAATGCACTTATATTATTATGATTTTGTACTTTTTACCCGACTGTAGGCTGTAGGAAGGGTATTGTCTTTCTTTCACCTATCATTCCTAAACTGTCACTTAACTACAAGTTACGTACGTAACATCTTAAATATCCCATTACTTATATTGTTAGGATTCCCTTATAAAACTAATATGTAGTTTTCGCCAACCTAAATGTTAAATGTCACCTATTTTATAGTGAAGGTTACTTAAAATTTATGGGTTGTATGTTACCTATGATTAGGTTTGTGTTTTTAATAAAATTTAATATTTACGTTCATGTGATGCGTAGGACATTGAAGTTTTTTCAAAATAATTTACAAAATAATGAAACAATCGATGTGATCTATTTGTATATTCGAATACAGTTAGTCTGACATACAAATAATACAAATTGTGAGTATCCAAGAAATTGAAATAACATATGTACAATTAAAACCGCATTTCATGTAAGTACCTACTAATAATTTACTTTCGCTGGGCGATAGAAGCGGTATAACAAATTCCACACTCGCAAGTAGCTTAGAGCTTAGCTTAGAGCTTCGTAAAGAGGATGAAAGAAAAATATTCAAAAAAATAAATAAATAAGGTAAACAACCATCGCATACCAAATTAAAAAAAAAATCGCTTACCTCCAGTAGTAGGTGAAAACTTGACTTCATTGCTGACCGGAGTCTCAGAAGGGAGGTGGAACAGGTTCACTCCTGAAGAGGACATGCTTCCAGGGTCAGCCCACGTGACCGACAACCGGTCCACCGACGGCTGCGGAGATGACGGTGGATGGTCGCAGGAGGGCTAGGAGAAAAAGTCTTATGAACATTTAAATAGAGGTGATAATGACCTCTATTTTAATGTTAATTATAATATCAGTCATAACACGTGCACTGCTGAACATAGGCCTCTCCACGTAACTTCAAAACAAATATAGATGTATTTATGTGGAAGCGCGGAGTCTTCTAGCACAGGTGATGTCCAATAATTTTATTTAATGCCTCTTGTAATTGAAATAAACATTTTATTTTGTTCTTATTTATAAGTAAATAAACATTGTTATCCGTCAAATAGTTTTCTTAATTAACCCCTTATTGCAGTTAAACGAAGTTTAAACAAAAAATCAATTATAGTGTTGACAAAACATTGTGTTTAACTATTTATCAAATAATAATTTACTTGTTTAATGAACAAACTGCGGTTTGATACTACGGCTCCCACAATACTACTGAGGCCGTGTTAGTCCGAAAATATTTTTATGAAACCGACAGCAATTTTTATATATAGGTACAATTATTTAATTCCATGGTTTACTTCATAATTATTTTATTGTTTAATAATCCTTTTAATAATTCATAATTATTTCATTGTTGTCTGCGATGTAGGAACACCCCTTTATGATAGCACAGAGTTTTTATGACACACTGTATAATGTCATAATGAGAATGAGACAATGAAGTAGTCAATTATATTTTAATACCATTTCCTGGCAAACTTAATAGTTAGTGGGTGTGTGTAAATTACATAAAATAAACTAATTCACGTTATTCTAATTACACTTTCATTACTTAACAAAACTACCACAATCATTATCACTTAAGTTCACGTCAGATTTTAATTACACGTAGTTTTAATTTTGCCCCTTTTATACTCTAAGTAATCGGTTTTGGATTACTGCTAAAATATTAAAAAACAACACTTCGTTTGTAATCTACTTTTTACGAGACTTAGTAAGTATATTATGTTTTATTTATGATATGACAAGTTTTGGCTAAAAACTATTTTTTATTAATACTAAAATATTACGTCTTTTTTAAATATTATTTAAAATAAATTAAAATCGTAACACTTCTTTTTCATGGTCAATTTTAAATAGACAAAAGAGATAATAAAAATTACCGTTCACGAAATTCTAAGTCTGACTGATAGACCGGACAAAGTCAGATGTATTATTGAGAGAAATAGAAGAAAGGTACTGCGTTCGATTACTCGGAACCGACTGACGCAAGGCTGGTCGCACACCGACCACACTAAACACCACGATTTATGTTTAATAGACCTTTAGGACTTATTCTTCTGTGTGTGAGTGCTTCGATCGAATGTCAAGCTAAAATATTACGAGTTAGAATTTAGAATAAAATTAAATAGCTGTCTGAATCGTATGCATTAATTGTATGAGTAAAAATATGTATTTCTTTACTTGTCAAATCTATAAGTGTATACCTACACATTTTTTTTGAGTTTGGATGGATTGGGTTAGCGTTTTTCATTTACATACCCAATTTCTGAGGGTTTATGAGGAAGTCCTCATAAACCCTCAGAAATTGTGTTTAATTTTGTTTATCAATATTTGTGTTTTTCGAGGATCAAACTTAAGTAAGTTTGATCCTCGAAAATGACCAAAGGAATTGTTTGTGCACTTGAGCTAGCAAACACTCCTCATCATTGAATCTGCTAACATAACTTACTTAAAAAAAACGTTGATCCACACTAGAATTTTAAAAACATACAAGTTCATATACACATGACACCCATACCCAGAACTACAATTTATGGATCAGACAGAGAATTGATCCGTGTGGGAAACGAATCAGCAACACGAGTGCGGCTGCCGGTTGACAAGCTACCGAACCAACCATGCTGTCAAAGTGGTAATAAGTGTCTAGTCATTCTTGTCATTCACATTTAAAGTGAGAATATAGCAAGTAAAAGCAATAACAACCTAATGGAAGCAATGGAAATAGTCACACACTTCTTATTTTACTACAGACAATGATAGAAGAGAAGTAGACATAAGCACACGATATAAGTATTTTTAAGTGCATTGAACTGCCATCGGCTGATGTACAAAACATTGATCGTATGTATTGTATGCATGTATCCCACTGTAATATTCGAACAAACAAAAGTCAATCACGCTGATACTACGAACGGATTTTGATGTTTGGTATACAGGCAGGGTATGGTCTGACATAGGATTCTATTTATTCTGATTAAATGCTCCCATGGAATGAAACAGGAATGAAGCTAGTATTCTATATTCATTATCGTGATGATGTCGAATTGACGATAATGATGAAATTAGGTCCACAATGTGTCGTCAGTGTGCGTTGAGCCCTTCAATACCAAATTAATAAGGACTGTGCCTTGTTATTGTAAGGCGTGGTGTTGCTACTTATGTACAACTGCGGACAAAATTGTTTGATTTTTTTTTATTGGGATAAGCCCTCAATACCCTCTCAAAACCTTTGCAACACCTATAAGCCAATATCTACAGTAGATAGAACCATGAGAACAAAGGAGTACTGAAGCCCGTCGAGTCCCAGGGACATGAATTGCTATTTTAAATCCCGCAACAAAACAATTCAAAAGATAGGGAGGGGTCCCTAGTGTCCCCAAACCCCGAATCCCCCACGATTCTTAAAATCCCAATTCCCAAAAGCCCGGTAACGCACTTGTAACGCCCCTGGTGTTTCGGGTGACCATGGACTACGCCGATTGCTTACCATCAGGTGATCCGTCTGCTCGTTTACCAGTTTATCTCATAAAAAATAACGTATTTACCGAAACAATTTTGTTGAGAAAAGGTTAAATTTGGAGTGTGTAGATTTCTTGGTGATTGTAGAGGACCCATCAAAAAGAATTTCCTGATCCATTAGTACAGGGAAACAGCAAAAACAAAAACTATCGCTAGACAGCGTGTAAGCAATAACTATGCACGTATAAATAACGAAATAAAGAACAATAGTGCTATTTAATTAAAATGTCATGTCGGTTATTATCTGTAACACTTGTGTTGCCGACTGTCCTCGATGATAAACTTGTGGCCATCACGCACTAATCGCGTTCAGTGCTAAGTGAAGCAGAAATGCGAATTTAAAGAAAATACTTGGACACTTTTTTTTTTTGGAATATTGTGGTTAAATTCATCACATTGTTTGTATGATGCTTGGGTTGTGTTTTAATTGTTATTGGGTGTTTCCCTTCAGTGTGAGCAAATGTCAGAATGTCCAATATTTTCAACGGTTACTGAAATAACTGCAGAAAATATTTAATAAGGGTTATAATATATTTAAAGACATAAGTGTTGCTGTGTAAAATATATTTTAACCTCAAAAGTACTCCTCAAGACTCCTTCGTTGGTCGAGTGGTCGCAAGTGCGACTGCCGGGCAGGGGGTCTCGGGTTCGATTCTCGGGAGGTCAAAATATTACTGTGTTTATAAAAAAGATCTCAGTAGTACGGAGTCTGGAATTGTGCCCGGTATATGGCAATAGGCTTACCCCCTATTACATGGGACTCATAACATAAATAGTGAAAAGTGGGTGTTACATTGTTCAGTGGCATAATGTGCACCTCTGCCTACCACTTCGGGTATAAAAGGCGTGATGTTATGTTATGTTATGTTTTAACCCCAAAAGTCTAACTACGTAGGATTAGGGCGGTAAAAATTTTAAGTCTTTTGAAACTAAAGACTATTTTAATTAACCCTTAATAAAACTTCTCTCCGTTTAAAAAATTACTTCAAAGAATATACTTTTCTTTTTTTGTGGAAAATATTTGATTCGTCCAAAATGGAATGCAAAGCTAGGACTACGCCCATTGGGCACAAAATGCTCGTCACGTGACAAGGCGCAGTCTATCTTGTTGTGCCAATGAGTGCCAGTGCCACACTGATTAACTATTCAGGGCTGTTACTTTAGTTTTTTAGTATTTTGTACAAATAATAAGTAACGTATAATTTTCAGCCGTATTTTTGTAAAGGTTCAACCTTTGAGATTTTGATAGAAATGTTCTTTTAGTTTTTTAGAGAGAAAGATGAAGAGAACATGCGTTATGTTAGAATTATTCTTATATAAATATACATCATTAAATAACATTAAAAACACTTAACCTCAGACTATTTAAAATTAAATTGTATGGTTAAATGAAAATAATTTTTATAGTATTAAGGAATTTTTTGAACATAAATAATATTGTATAATCTACGAGTGTAAGTTAAGTAGTTAAAATAAGTTTCAAGTTAAAATTTGCATGCTTCATTTATCAAGCAAAACATGATGATCTATTATATTGTAACAATAACATCTTTGTATACCATGTTTTTACGCAAATAAATGTCTTTATCAGTTCAATACAAAGAACTAGAAGATTTAATTACCATTTCCTTGCTAAAGTTTTTGCGAAACAATGAGTTTAAGCAGTTCACTGCTTAAAAACTTGGTTTTTAACCATTCAAATCAATGATGGTTAAAAATCTACAACTTAGTTCTATAACATCATCATCATCATCAATAGCCTATAAGTGGTCACCGCTGACCAAAGCATCTTGTCACACGGATAAGGTTTGAGCATTAATCACCACCCTTGTTCAATGCGGGTTGGCGATGTCAAAATTATAATTAGAAATTATAAGCCCAGGTTTCCTCACGATGTTTTCCTTCACCGTTTGTCAGTGGTATCTAATAATCTTAGAAAGTACATACAAGTAGAACTTGGATAAAGTCGCATTGGTATTTGCTGTTGATAAGTTTCGAACCCGCATCTCATGCATAAGTAGCGGGCGTTATAAACCTCCGGGATTCGATACATTGCATTGCTTGCTTGCATACATTATCTGCAACAGACAGTGACAGTCAGCTGCTGGACAATGAACCTCCTTTAAGAAAGGAGGATTTTACATCCAAGCACGTTGAAAAAATGGTGGACACAGTTTGTAGAAAGAACGCCTGCAGTACTATAGACTTACACACAGAATACACACACATTCGCACGAAGTACATTTGTCGCGTAACTCCTAATTGTAACGCACTTGTATCGCTTTGGTGTTCCAGGTGTCCATGGGCGACGCCAATTGCTTGCCATCAGGTGATCATTTTGCTAGTATACCGGCTCATGCCATAAAAAAAAACATGATCCGTCATTACACTTCATACCTCTACATTACAGTATCAAGTACACGCACACATAAATATACCACTGACATTTTGGTGCTTCAATTACCTATATCCAAGTGACATTACGTCCGCCTTTTTTCAACGTCCTGTATTACATAATCTGCACGTTTGGTAGTCGACTTGATGATTTTACTTAAAAAGGACATGTCTTTTTTAGTTGTATGTGTTAGATGTACAGAAAAGTACATTGAGAAGAAGGAATCTATGGGTATTTACTGGCTGCTACTGTTTACTCACAGTCACCGATTTAGACTTTAACGCGCCAGACGTCGGCACAAGCGATAATTTGTATGACTTATTGTAGTATTATCAGAGTCCCTAGTACCAGTTAATCGAAACGAGACTGCATTCGGCGGTCTGATTGGCCGGCACCAATGAAGCAACCAATCAGGGGGCTTACTCTTGAATCCAATTCCGATCGATCGACATTCACATTGTAAAATTTCGTACTCTTGAGTTGCAACACTAGCGCCTATTGCATCCGTATTGCATGGATATTTCATGAACTAAATAGTATTGAGTTTAGCTACATATTCCGTGTTACTACTTTAATCTGTCAAACACCAAGCGGTCACCGGTGACCGCGACCTATTGTTCTTTAATTGTGTCTATAAAACCGGTACTCGACGAGTTAACAGCTACGATGGGGTTGTATAGTTTTGACATTGGATAATTATTGAGATTTTATTAGATTGAAATTACATTGACATTGAGATTGGTTTCAAGAGTAAGCACCCTGAGCGCCGAACGCGTACTCGTTACGATTACTTTAAACGTAAAACAAATTTGTACTAAGGCCTCTGTCTGAGCTACAAAAGTTTTCAGAGACACCCCTGCCTGTTCATTCCATTATCTTGTAGCCGCCCTACCGTTTATATCACACCGAATAATAATTAAGAAGTGATTTTTCACCAAAGATAGCCGTGATCGATATCGTTCTAATTTGTGGAAGCTTTTTGATACTTTAATACCTATTACGATTTATACAATCGTATTTAGTTGCGTGTCGCGCCACCTTTATAATAATAGCGCATAATTTATTAAGTGTCCACCTCCTTGGTTGGTGGTTGTGAATATTGAGCAAGGATTACTTAAATACTTGGGTATTTAATACGGCTGCTTGCAATAGGTGTCCCTATACAATACAGCAATAGCAATGCTTACGTAAAAACCAATTTTTGCATAAGGTCTATTCAAAATGTGTCAAATTTTTAACAGATACAGCAGAGAATTATATTTTTAATTTTCATACCCTGTCATCGTCCCAATTCGTCAGGTTTACAGGTTAACTATACATCAAACAAGTATTAACATAACTTCGTACAAAGAACGAGATCGAAACGTCGAACACCACATTAACCGACTGCGCCGAGTATTACATTTCGTTAATTGGCTCTGTTTAGAGGTCGGGGAGTGCCCTGATTGTCTGTAATTACTCTTTGTATACCTTTCGCAGTAATGGCGACAGGTGCTAAATGTAGTTAGAATTTTGGTTGTTATTGAAATGTGTGCCTTAAACGGACGTAGAAAGGTTTCATGTTTGGCTTCTGTTAATTAAACCTGGCATATGTAGTCTCTTGGCTTATGAACAGTTTAAATCGTGTATTTTTAGGAAGGAGTTACAGGGCGTTATAGATATTAGGTATTTTTTTCCTAAACCTGAGACATTTCAAGCTTTACTTACATTTCTATCTAGCCGGTAGTTTGAGCATAAAGTATATTGTTGAATTTCGTGAAAATCGGTATCTACTTTAAGGTGATTGCAATGGAAACTAGAGACTTAGAAGGTTAAGAATATACTAAAATAAGTGAATCGAAAATAGATTTTTGATATTAACTTTTATCATTAGCGTCTAATCATGTAAAACCCATCAGTCTTTATGAAACGCTCCACGTAACCCGTGAATGGTGTAGGTCAGTGTTTTCCAAAGTTTGACATTGACCTATAAAATTTTATGATATTATCACACCATTGTATCACCAAGTGTAGGAGAGCCATGCTTCGGCACGAATGGGCCGGCTCGACCGGAGTGATACCACGGCCTCACGGAATACCGACTTAAAACAACGCTTGCGTGTGAGTGAGGTTACCGGAGGCCCAATTACCTTACACCCTCCTCAATCTCCCCAATCCCTAAATCCCCAACAATCCTCAAATTCCTAAAGGCCGGTAACACCTCTGGTGTTCCGAGTGTGTACGTGGGTGGCATACCCATTCTGTACAACTAGCAGGAATACGTGGACATAACCCGCGGCTATGTCTACGTATTCCTGTTTTATCCCGTGGCGGAATTTTCAACGGAATAAAAAGTATCCTATCACCTAAGTCAGCCCATACTCTGCCTGTATACCAAACATCAAAATCCGTTCTGTAGTTTCAGCGTAATTGACGGACAAACATACAAACATCCAAACAAATAAACTTCCACATCTATTATTATTACAGTGTGATTAATATGAATAAGGTACCTGAGGAGTGAGTTCCGATTTTGTGATGTCGATGATGACCCTCGGTCGGGGATCCAGTTTTAAGATGCCACGTTCTTTACTCTGTATAAGAAAAAAAAGAAATTAAATGTTTATCCCATGTTTTTTTGCACCAGCTGTTAGGTCCCTATTGGTCATAACGTGAAGTCGTACGGTTTATAGCATAGCTTTCATCGATAAATAAACGATTCAACAGAAAAAGAATTCATCAATTAACTAAAATCGCTGGTTACTCACGTGAATATACTGAGAAAAGTTCAACTAGTTTCGAACCACAGAGAGGTTCTTCCTCATGAGCAGCGTGCGCGGTCGCGCGATGTCGCGACGTTCTAAACTAGTAAAGCTTTTCTCAGTATTGAATATACTGAATAACCCGCGATTTTAGTTAATTTAGTATGTCTCACGATAGTTACTATAAGAATTCATCAATTCAATATAATAGTTTATAGTAGTTATTGAACCAGTAGCAAACAAAATCAACTTATACTTATTTACTCTTCGGGCTTATCATAAGTGTAGAATATAAAAATAATGGCCAAAAAGTAATGTATTTGCAAATCTTTTAAACGAGTGCTGTCGTTGATAAACTACTATAAAAGATGGAAAGTGATATCTGTAAGTGTAAGTACAAACATTTATGTATGTGGGGATCTTTTGGACTCCGAATTTCAATAGAGAATTTTAAAATCAAACTTGCTAATCGAAGAACGTTAAAAACTTTACTCTACTTAAGACTACTTAACTAAGAAATCAAACACACATAAGGACCGCTCGTGAATTAGGTAATTCACGAGCGGTCCTTATGTGTTTTCTGAAGTTGAATCCCCCTTATCACAATGACCTATGTATTATAATTGTTGCAGTGTCGTCCCCAGCAAAAGATCTAAACTTCATGTATACTGCGTAATTTTAATGTGTGCATGTAGCACACGACGCATATAAATTTTAACATTCGAGATAAGTTTCTCACCCTCTTTGTACAATAACTTCACATTTTTGAATAAATTATTTTAGATAATGATAACAAATCTGAAGTTTTAAACTCGTTATTCGATATTGTTATTTGGTTATTTGAAAAATACAATAAAAAAACAATAGCTGAGCTTAAATTGTAAAAGCAACACTAATAAATTGGCAGAGAAAATAAAAAAAAAAATGTACGTTCTAAATCACAACAGAAAGTAACAAACGTTATAAACCCATTGAAAAGTTTCATAGACACAGATACATAATTCCTTAACTATGTATATAAAGTGTTATAAATACCTTCGCGTCCATTCTGGTCTGCTTTGCAGGAGGCAGCGGTAGTAACTGCTGTAAAGGCTCCTGTTGTGGGTTGAACAGCCGGCCTGACGAAAGGGGTATAAGTCGTGTTTACGAAATTATTTATGAACGGACAAATATAGCTACCTGTTGTAATTGGTCGATTGCTAGACAAAGGTAGAACTACTTCTCATATTTCGTAAAAAGGTGGGATTGAAATTGCAATCTTACTGTACCGTAAATAGGGATATAATACTTTTAAACATTTTGGTGTAATTTTTTTTACTACCGAGTACTTTGAAATATCTATTGAGGTTTATTAAAAAAAAACATACTTATCATCTTTATTAGCAACAATATGTCCACATCTGAACATCGGCCTCCTCTATTAACTCCTACAACCATTGAAACTTTCTACATCTAGTAGATCATGTCTGTCCAAGTCTAGTACATCATCAGCAACCTATAAATGCCTACTGAGCAAAGGCCTCTTCTTACACGGAGAAGCTATGAGCATCAATAACCACGCTTGCAAGGCATGTTGCCAAAGTTTTACTTGCCAAAGTTTTACATGACCACCACCACCATTTCTCTTCTTTCTATCAATTGCATCATTGACGCTCTTGAAGCATCTCACATGTTTGCACTTCGAGTTTCTGAGAATCACCATAATCCCTTCACTTTATTTATCACCAACAGTATTGCATAGTTTTGTGCAAAATATGCGGTTCTGGGCTTTTTCATGTACTTGTGTTGTTACCAAGTAGGAATTATTACTACAGCATGATATGTATCGTAGTTATGGTATATTTTTATTACTTCCATTACTAATATAATTTCCTTTAATTATGTGTTTATGTCTTTACTTTTATGTTTTCAAATATTCATATCTAAAGTGGGATCTTCTGAACAAATAAACTATACCACACTCATTTTTAATCATTCAATAACACATTTAAACTAACAAGCTTATTTTAAAAACCTCGGTCACTATGTTTAAACTTTAGTTATTTCTAAGACGTTTAAAAAACGAAACAGGACATATTCTTCAGGTAAATAATATTTCTGGTTTCGTCAACTATTGTCAGTAAACACGTGTTGACCACTCAAACGACCACGATTACTGTTGTTACACAAATTAATGTCCGTTTTATGTGTATCAATTCTCTTTTTACGTCAGTGAATGAGTGTGGGGTGAGTGAGATGAGTGTAAACACAGTTGTATTGAGGTACGGCTGTTTTATGTGTGTTTATTATAGGAAGGATAGATGAAAGAATAGAGAGATTGATCCCTTTTATCTAACTGTACTGTATGAAATAGAGGTTGTAATTTCTTATACTTATTGGTTATTGGTGCTCTTATTTACGATCGCAATTAAGACTTTTTTAGTGAGTTAGAGTTTGAATTTCTTAGTATTGGTATTTTGTTTCAATCATTCAATATGAATAGAAATGTTCCTGCAACGAGTCAAAAAGTAAAAAAACCAGAATCATTTATTTTAGAAAGATACTTCTGAACGAAAACAAAATATTGAAATATTAAGAAGTTGTTCGTCTGTCGGTCAGTGCTCTAGTGAAGCTCGTCCTAAAGTATAGATTCCTATGGAGAAGAACAAGTAAGAAACTCCATAGGTTACTGTCTTTTAATCGGTTTCACAATACAGAGATTATGCCAAGCCCTTTCATGTAGAGTAGGTCCGTATCTAGCAGTATATTATTATGAACTATTGATATAGAATACTTTAAACAGCAAGCAGAGGTATTATAAAAGGGAGAAAACTAGTTTTACGCCAGTTTCTGACCAGTCTTTCAGTAATTAATGGAATACTCGCAAAGGTGGGCTATTAAAAGGGGTGAGACAAACGGGTTGTTTAACATCACTCATCCACTGCTATTAAATAAAACGTCACTTGAATACAGACGTTAACTCCTCAGGGTCACGTATTACTAATAACTATTTTAATTAACTAAGTATTTCTTGTTTAGATTTATATTACGTGTCACTGAACTTTTTGGCTTGGTTTTTGACTGTAGTTACAATTTAGTGTACCTAATATTTCTATAATTACGTATCAATATAATCTTAAAATAGATACGGATTTTATTATTACTATTTCCTTTTTAATTGTCTGCACTTTTGATTTTTGGTGCATAGTGCATTTCACTATTATTATTTTTATGATCCTTTGCGACTAACGAAATCAAATCGATAGTCGATCTCAACCAAAAATCTTTAGATTAAGATCGATTTATGGTGATCAAGCTAAGAAACTCCATTTCTGGAAATAACCGAGATTGATACAGACTGATGTCGAAATACTCAAACGCTACTCAATGTTAAACCGCACTTAAGTATAGTTCTGTCAATACAAATTCTTTGTAAAATGACAAAGGTGGCACGATATTTCAGTACAATTTAAATTTGTGTAGTCTTTCAGTATTCAGGCGTAAGTTTGCTTATCAACTCGTCGAGTACCGATTTTATAGACACAATTAAAGAACAATAGGTCGCGGTCACCGGTGACCGCTTGGTATTTGACAGTTTAATATTTAAAGTAACTTGGGCCAGTATTAGTTGAAGTAAACTTCTTAATTTCGGCCGCAGTAAACTATTGTGTGGATGGGAGACTACTGGCTGTCATAACACTTGTCAACGCTTGTCACGGTGCTCGTAAAGCGTGACATGTCTTTTGACACGTGTCTTTCAACTCAGTGGCTAGTGGCTACCCTGTTTGTTAAAAGGTTTAGCCCAGAGAAAGGTCAATGAGACTAAAGACTGTCAAATAAATGCATTTACTTACTTTCTTTAAGATTATAGATATTTTTTGTGTGTAACTACAATAAACTGAATTTTTCATACTTATGCAGCACTAGCTATTCCTAGCGGTTTCGCCCGCTTTCCCGAGTTTGTTTCTAAAGTAGCTTATCTGTTATTCTAGACTAAAATCTACTCATGTTTCAAATTTTATCTCGACCTTTCGAGCTGCGGTGATTGAAGAACAAATAGACACACTATATTACTCACAAGCTTTCGCATTTATAATATTAGTAAGATAAGTAAGACTAAGATGACCTCATTAAAGTCGCAGGGAACCGCTGGACGCTTCCAACCGGCTTATCTGGAAGTCATTGGGGGAGGCCTATGTTCAGCAATGGACGTCCTTTGCCTGATATGATGATGATGATGTAGTAAGACTAGCGTCTGCCTACGGCTTCCCACTTCTTATTGGGGATTAAAGAAGAACGTCAATCAAGAATCTAATTATCTCTCCTTAAAAAAATCAGTAACAACACGCATATAGTGTCACCACAAAGGACAATAATTGTCTAAGTAGCCAAAAAACATTTACATCACGCGTTCTATGCTCCTAACGTCGAATTTTGGATAAACAGAGACGAACTTGAGGAGTATGACAACGACTTTTCAATTGCTTTCATTATCTCACACAGGACAAATAAGATACCATCACTGAAAATTTGGAGCCGTGGAAGACTTGGGTTGCCGGGGCTCCGGCTCGAAGAGTAGGAGTAGAAACGGGGTAGCTTTTAGTACGTAAGAGTCTAACACTACCCCCCGCCTCATCCAGACGGGAGAAGTCATTGGATGATTTTCCCGCCTTAAAAAAAGTCATTTGTCTTGGTCAATAGGAAAAAAAGATCTAGGTACTTAATGAATCCAAAATCATTATGTTATCTAGCAGGCAGTCCAAGGTTTCATCCACCCATTAGAAGTGTGTGTAATTCATATTTTTATATTATACTAGCTTCTGCCCGCGACTTCGTACGCGCAATCCCGTTTTCGCCCTTTCCTGTAGAATTTTCAGGATTTTTGTCTTAAGAACAAATACAACAAAAAAAGAATTAGTGACATCGATTCAGCCATTCACGCGTGATGCCGTGAAAAATGGGAATTTTTCGGAGTTTAAAAAAGCGCCACCTATTCACGAACGTTAGTAAAAAACTGAGGGTTGTTTCATACGAGGGTGAATTTTGATGCGAATATATAGGATGTACTTATACGCAATGTCGGAAATAACAATGAGATGGCGCTAGGGTTGTCTGGTTAAAATATTTTTATGGTATTTGCTTAAACTAGTTTTATCTAGCTTTATTAGTACCATCTTTTTTATTTTTTTTTTATGGCATAAGCCGGTAAACGAGCAGACAGATCACCTAATGGTAAGCAATCGGCGTCGCCCATGGACACCTGGAACACCAAAGCGTTACAAGTGTGATAACAGCCTTTTGGGAATTGGGAATTTGAGGATTGTGGAGGATTCGGGGATTGGGGAGACTGGGGAGGGGGGAATTGGATATTCGCGGTAGAAGGTTTCTTTCCCGGGTAGACCTTTCTGGATCTGACCCTGTAATAAAAAAGATTTAAAAATTTTAAACGATAGATTTAGTTTCGGTATCTAAATACGAACAATACGATGTAGACCTCAAAAAGCTTTCAGAATTATTTAGATCAATCTAAAAGAAGGCACTGCGTACTATAGTAAAAGTATTTAAAAATTCTATCATGTCGTCACTCTCAAACAAAGATTGAACTTAAATAATGTCAAAGAGAGTTCTTTGACCTCTTATCAGTGTTACAGCCACGATTTAACAGCTTCCGTTAAATCTAAAATTAGGCAGATTTATCTTTTGTAAAACGTCACACGCTAGATACGGCTGGATGAAACTCTTTTAAAAACTTATAAGAGACAAAAAACAGAATATTTTTGTTTTGCCCTCGTGTTTAGTTACTTAATGGATCGCGTCAATTTCTTTAAAATCAATGTCGGAATTGCTGCCCGGTGTATGGTATAAGACTTGTGCTCTTTGACAAGGGACTGTTTATAAAAAAGCTGATGAGAACAGAGGGTTTGTTAGGTGCAGTAATTTTTTTTTATAATATAACCCGGTAAACGAGCAGACGGATCACCTGATGGTAAGCAATCGGCGTCGCCCATGGACACCTGGAACACCAGAGGCGTTACAAGTGCGTCACCGGCTTTTCGGGGATTAGGAGTTTGAGGATCGTTGAGGATTC